TAAACTTCATGACCATGATCTCATTTCATCCTCATGGCAATCCTAGGAGGTAGGTATGATAGTTATTTCCATTTGCTAAATGAGAAAACTCCTTAAGTCACATAGCTAGCAAATGGGGGAAAAAAAAAAAAAAAAAAAGAAGGCCTGGCTGGTGTGGCTCAATGGTTGAGCATTAACCTATGGACCAGGAGGTCACAGTTCGATTCAGTCAGGACACATGCCTGGGTTGCAGGCTCAATCCCCAGTGTGGGGCATGCAGGAAGCAACTGGTCAATGATACTCATCTCTCTCTCTTTCTCTCTCACTCAAATCAATTTTTTAAAAATTGTTTTAATGGCAAAAGAGATTTGAACCACGTATTTAGACTCTAAAGCCCACTTTTTAACTTTTTTAAAAATATATATATTTTATTGATTTTTTTACAGAGAGGAAGGGAGAGGTACAGTCAGTCAGAAACATCAATGAGAGAGAAACATCAATCAGCTGCCTCCTGCACACCCCCCACCGGGGATGTGCCCGCAACCAAGGTACATGCCCTTGACCGGAATCGAACCCGGAACCCTTGAGTCCGCAGGCCGACACTCCATCCACAGAGCCAAACTGGTTAGGGATACTTTTTAACTCTTAAGTGCATCAAATAGGGGGTCACGTAAAAAAAAAAAAAAAAAAAAAAAAAATCCTTAGTGGAAGCCTTAACAAGGAAGGATTCTCATAATGTCTAGGTGATAAACAGATCCCTAAATTCAGTCTGATCACGCAAACAGAATACAAGGCTTTTATATTCTGTATAAAATAATATAAATAAGCTCATTACTTAACAGGAACTCAGTACAACCTCCTTGAGCTAATTTACCTAATATGTTAAGCCAATCTGGATTATAATACTATACGCATAAAAAATTTTGAAATAATAGTTTACTAATATACCAGTAATTTCCAATTTAGCAACAGCTAAGCCCTACTCACATAAACCTGGAAAAATTTACATTTCCATTCAAAACTTAATGTCCTTACTGAATAAAATAGGAGCTAACTGCAGCAAGAACCTCAAACTATCATAAGCAATGTTCAGTTAACTCTGTGGCCATCAGCATGCCTCTCCCACCAATAAGCCAAGTCTTGGGCTACTGTGAATTTAAGAAGATACAGAGGTAGAATCCAAAGGAATTTGTTGAAGTTCTTACATTGGTGGGTGGGTGGCAAGAAGCTTCCAAGCTAAGTTTACAGGACAGTCAATCTCCATTCCCATTCCCATGCTTATGGCCTTGCAGAACAGGGGAATGGAGAGTTCACTTCTCCGTTAAAATCATAGCATCACCAACCAAAGAAAGGCCTCATCTGTCATAACTGGATGGGTGTGCGAAATGGCATCATTAACATGAAAAAGGACAAGTCCTCAAAGGGTTAACTACCAGAGACAAAACTTTTGACTGAAAGTCGCAGGATCTGGAACCACAGATAACACTTTTCTTTAAATCAGTGCAGGATCTGGAACCACAGATAACACTTTTCTTTAAATCAGAGTAGGTGTAAGAAACAATGGGCTAGATCTGACCACTGGAGGGCGCCCCAGCCATGCACAACTGCAAGGCGCTCACTGGAAATTCATCTCCAGGAGAGTCCCCAGGCTGTGCGTTTCGCAGTCCAACACTTTCCTGCACTGTAAATAAACTTTAAAAAGTGACTTTTGCCGAAACCGGTTTGGCTCAGTGGATAGAGCATCGGCCTGCAGACTGAAAGGTCCCAGGTTCGATTCCGGTCAAGGACATGTACTTGGGTTGAGGGCACATCCCCAGTAGGGGGTGTGCAAGAGGCAGCTGATAGATGATTGTCTCTCATCAATGTTTCTAACTCTCTATCCCTCTCCCTTCCCCTATGTAAAAATCAATAAAATATATTTTTTAAAAAGTAACTTTCCCCCTTTGCCTAAGGGAAAGAGGTCTTTCTTCTCTGTGCTTTTTCTTAAAGCATTTCTTTGAAAAACCCAGTATTTTTAACTCCTTCCTGTTCCTTTGGTATACCTGCAAATCTTTTAAAAGGCTAAATAAACTAGCTCTAGCACAGCCAGTGTGACTCAGTGGTTGAACATTGACCTACAAAACCAGGAGATCACAGTACAGTTCCCAGTCAGGGCACAAGCCTGGGTTGTGGACTCGTTCCCTGGTGTGGGGTGTGGATGAGGCAGCCCATCAATTATTCTCTCATTATTGATGTTTCTATCTCTCTCCCCCTCTCCCTCCTCTCTGAAATCAATATATATATAATCAATATATATATAATCAATATATATATATATATATATATATATATGAAATAAATAAGGCCCTGGCTGGTCTGGCTCAGTGGATAGTGTCAGATTGAAGGGTCGCAGGTTCGACTCCGGTTAAGTGCATATGCCTGTGCTCAGTCCAACGTGCAGGAGGCAGCTCCCGCTCATCATTGATGTTTCTATCTCTCCATCCCTCTCTGAAATCAATAAAAATATATTAAAAATAAATAAACAGCCGGGACCGGTTTGGCTCAATGGATAGAGCGTCGGCTTGGGGACTGAAGGGACCCGGGTTCGATTCCAGTCAAGGGCATGTATCTTGGTTGCGGGCATATCCCCAGTAGGGGGTGTGCAAGAGGCAGCTGATCGATGACACTCTCTCATCGATGTTTCTCTCTCTCTCTCTCTCTCTCTCTCTCTCTCTCTCTCTCTCTCTCCCCCTTCCTTGCTGTATAAAATCAATAAAATATAAAATAAATAAATAAATAAATAAATAAATAAAATAACTAGCTCCAGCCACAGATACTACCCAGAAACTTTTTCCTGAAGGGCTTAGCAGCCATCTCTTTCCAATATAAACATCAAGGAAGAAACTCAGCCACCCGGGGAGGTTACATGACTACCTGCCCAAAGAGGTTAGAGATTTTCCATTTTTCCTTCAGATAAAGGTACGTAACTAGCACAGATGACCACCCCAACTGCCAGTGAATTTAGGGTGAATTTACACATAGTATAATAGATGGTGCCATCAATCTTCTTACAAAAGGAATCAGGAGACTTTGTGATGTTTTAAGTGATGGGATTTCTTTTTTGTTTTTGTAATTCTGGATTCGTGTTTATTCAATAGTAGGACTATTTTCTTCCTTCCTACGTTTTTAGAAACAATTTTCTAGGCGGGCAGATTTTATTTTTTAACTTTCCCCCACTTCTTAGTGGGCCGCCTCACTGCGACTCTCTTGCCTTCAACGTCAGGAAAATATTCCTCCCTGACCAAAGCTTCTTAGAGACTTTGCCCAGTCTTGCTGTCTGAGTGTTAGATCCTTCTTTATCACTGTGTCTGTGACACCTCTACTTAGATTATTTCAAAAACATTTTATTCAATACTGAACTCATGCTCTTCCCCCCGTTTCCCTTTCCAGATGCACAAGCCAGAAAAGGAAGGATTAGCCCTGACTCGTCCCTCACCCTTTCCACCGCAGAGTGAATCTATACCCGGCCCGCTAAGCATGCCTCCTGAAAGAGCCTCACAGTGACCATCTTCTGCTCCCTGCTCCCGGAGGAGCCAGGGTGACCTGACACACAGACCGACTGGTGCTCCAGGGACTGGAACTCTCCAGTGGCGCCCGCCATTCTCCAGATGCGGCCCAACTCTTTCGCATCATGAGAGCTGCAGTCCGACTCTCGCTTACCTCTCCGACTTCGTCTCCCTGACTCCTCCCTCCGTGTCCTCAGCCCCCGGGGGGAGCGTGAGTCCCACAAGGACAGAGACCCTGCCTCTTTGCTGATGCTGCATCCCTCGGACAGTGCCTGCCACACGGCAGGCGCTAAGCAAATACTGTTGAGAATAATGTTGAGCCGAAAACGGTTTGGCTCAGTGGATGGAGCCTCGGCCTGCGGACTGAAAGGTCCCAGGTTCGATTCTGGTCAAGGGCATGTATCTTGGTTTCAGGCACATCCCCAATAGGGGGTGTGCAAGAGGCGGCTGATTGATGTTTCTAACTCTCTATCCCCCTCTCTTCCTCTCTGTAAAAACTCAATAAAAAAAAATTTTTTTTTAATAAGAATAATGTTGATATGCCGAGACCGGTTTGGCTCAATGGATAGAGCGTCGGCTTGGGGACTGAAGGGTCCCGGGTTCGATTCCGGTCAGGGGCATGTACCTTGGTTGCGGGCATATCCCCAGTAGGGGGTGTGCAGGAGGCAGCTGATCAATGACTCTCTCTCATTGATGTTTCGAACTCTCTATCTCTCTCCCTTCCACTCTGTACAAAAATCAATAAAATATATTTAAAAAAAAAATAATAATAATAATAATAAAAAGAATAATGTTGATAAAACAATTGTAGTATCTGACTTGGAAGGCAAATAAAACATTAACTAAATTATGCATGGTGAAGGGAAATTCTGCATGTCTGTGTCCTATGGGGCTTGGACCATAGTGGGGCTAAAACTATGTTTGTTAAATCGTTTTTGCAAACCAGACACGACTACAATGAAATACCATAGTGGCACTGAGTCTATCGGCTGTCAGTTCAGGTTTCTCTCTCCCTATCCCCCTTCCCGTCCCGGGACAGCCGCGGGCCTGCCGCCGGGGACAGGGCGGGTGCGCTCCGCTCCGGGGTGAGGCCACACCCCCTCCAGTCTGCGGCCCCTCGGGCCTCCCCGAGAGCGGCGTTCCCTCCGCGGCGGCGGCGGCGAAGGGTCCGAGGGGGCCCCGCCAGGAAGCGCCGAGGAGGGAGGGGCTGAGTGCGGCACCCGGGCCCGCCGCCGCCAGGGTGCGGCTCGCCCTCCGTCCCAACCCCTCGCCACCCCGGCGAGACACCGGGCTACCGGCAACGCCTCCGGGGCCGGGCCCCGCCTGCACTCGCCGGGCCGGGAAGGGCGCGAGCCGGGCCGCCGCCTCAACACGCGCATCCGGGCCGCAGCCCTAACTGAGAGGCCGCAGCTCCCCGGACGCCGCGCCCGCCCCGCCCGCGGGCCCTGCTCCCCCGGCCCTTCCCACGGCCCCTACCTGGGCGCCGCCGAACTCATGGGTCCCTCCGCCGCGCCCTCCGCAGCGGAAGTGACGTCACGCCCCGCCAAGCCCACCCAATGACAGCCTTCGGGCTGCGCAAGCGCGCTGGCCGTGCTGCCCTCGGGGCGGGCGCTCATGGGACGGCCCAGGCGTCCACAGGGCCTCCTCCTCCCAAATGTCTCCCTCTGTCTTGTTTGGGGCTCCCCAAATTTGGGGCAGAGAGGGGACAAATTTGGACATGTGTGCTTATTAGCCATAGTCATTAAAATATTATGACATACACCAAAAAAATCAATGATGTAAAAAATAATTCAACAAGTAAATATGAAGATCTGATTGGGTTTATTAAGTGATTCATGATTGGGGGAGCATCCCACCCAGCTAATAGGAGCTCCAAAGGACTACAGAAAGGGAAAGCTTTTTGTTTTGTTTTTAAATCTTTTTTTCTACTTTTCAAGGCCTGTTGGCATACATTATTATATTAGTTTCAGATATACACCCCAGTGATTAGACATTACATAAATACTTTACTAAGTGATCACCCAGTAATTCTCACACTATCTGACACCATACACAGTTGTTAGGATGTTACTGGCCATAATCCATATGCTGTACTTTACAGCCCCATAACTCTAGTCACAAAAGTACCAATTTGTACTTCTTAATCCCTTCACCCTTTTCACCCATCCCCCCAACTCCATCTAGCAACCGTCATAGTGTTCTCTGTATCTTGATTCTGCCTTTGTTTTGCTTGTTCATATTTTTAAATCCTCACTTAAGGATATTTTTCCATTGATTCTAGAGAGAGGGAAAGACAGAGAGAAATATTGATGTGAGAGAAACTCATAAACTGGTTGCCTCCTGCACATGCTCCTCACAGGGTCTGGCCCGGGGAGGAGCTGAGGTATGTACCCATGACCAGAATCAAACCAACGACCTTTAGTCTGCAGGCCAATGCTCTATCCACTAAGCCAAACTGGCCAGGGTTGCTTGTTCATTTAACTTCCTTTTTAGATTCAATTGTTGGTATATGTGTACTTATTGCCATGTTATTATTCATATTTTCTTTTTTGTTATTGTTGTTCATTCTCACCTAAGAATATTTCTGCCCCTAACACAGGAGCCCACCTTATACAGCACGACTTACTTTAGTGGGACTCCAGTGCTCACAGACCCCGCCCTCTGAGTGTGTCTGCTTATGGTGTGCTTCAAGCTGGTCTGAAGCTGTCCACTAGGTGCACTGGCTCTGGAGCCCCCAGAGAGGTGCAGGCCCAGGTCAGCCACTGCCTGTATTCTGCCCGAGGCCACTCAGCATAAGCTACAAAGCAGTCTGCAGATGGTTGCTACTTGTGCTGGGCTTGTAGGTGCCCATGCAAGGCCAAGCTGTAAAGCAAGGCAGGCTGCTGCTAGCACTAGATCTGGGGCTACTTAGTGAGAAGTACGGGCCATGCTGAGGCCAGCAGCTACTTGTTTCAGAGATTTTACGGAAATCTGAAGCATGAACCAAGACAGGCATTTGGATTAAAAAAAAAAAAAAAAGCCAATAAAAACAGTATGGGTGCACCTGGCAGTTGGTTGGGGCAAAGTCTCAGGGAATCACCAAGATGGGGCAAACAGCATGAGCCAGTTGATGGAGTCTCAGATACGGGGCCACAAGCCAACTGTGAGGTGTGATGAGGGTCTCAAAAAAAGAACAATGTCCTCTGTCAGCATTGGTCTGACACAAAGCTTCACACACATCCACCCCAGCACTCATCCTGATGCTAGACAATTCAGTTTGTCAATGTAAGCAATGTTCAAGTTTGTAGAGAATTTTTCTGATTTTATTTAAGCCAAACTGCCAACAGTTGCCAGGAAGCAAAACCTCAAAGGATTGGGAAAATGCTCCAGAAAATGGCAGTTTTGCCCTAGCCAGTTTGGCCTGTGGACTGAAGGGTCCCAGGTTCAATTCCAGTCAGGGGCACATGCGGGATTTTAGGCTCGATTTCCAATAGGGGGGCGTGCAGGAGCAGCCGGTCACTGATTCTCTTTCACTGATGTTTCTGCCTCCCTCTCCCTTTTTCTTCCTCTCTAAAATCAATGAAAATGATTTAAAAGAAAATGGTAATTTTGTACCTTATTTTATGCATTACAATCAAACGAGGAGGTGCGAGAGGGTTACATGAAATCCAATGGTGATAGATTAAGGAGGTGGGAAAAAGCAAAGTGGGAAAATCTCTGGGACTGGCTAAAAAGTAAAATGATAGACACATACTTCTTTTAACTAGGTGGGTACAGGATAGTTAACAGTCAACAACTAACATGATAACAATTACAATAAGAAGATTTGTGGTCTCTGCCCTGTGGTTGTGAAGGGGGTGGAAAAGGGAAAATTACCTTAACATTCCAAAGATATGTTATCATAGATGCAAAAAGACAACAGACAGTCTCAATTAAGGTAAAAATTGACTTTTGCCAGGGATAGTTCTACTCAGGACAGGACTTCCTGCCATGACCTGCTTTTATTTTTTATTTTTTATTGATTTTTAATTAAATTATTATCTGTGTACATATCTTATCATCGCTCCCCCTCCCAAAGATACCCTCCCTCCCCCAGAGTTTTTTTTTTATATATATATTTTATTGATTTTTTTTTCCCATCACATCCACGTTTCTCTTTCTACAAACATACCCTCAGGTGAGGGTGAGAACCAATCCCACCAAATCCCACGGGGCCGAGGAGCAGGATGGGTTAGCCGCGGACGCTGACAGAAGTCCCTGGGACAAGCCTCACAGCGGAGAGCTGGTGTCCCGTGGGCGCCCCGAGCCACACGTCTCACGGCTTCCCACGGCGCCCGGCCTCCCCGTCTCCTCCGCGGGGCCTGGAGCTGCGCCCCCTTCCCAGGAGCCCGGGCTCTGCGCCTACTCCGCGTGGGTGCCCGCAGGGGACCGGGACACGGCGCGTCCCAGCGAGGACACGAGGGTGAAGCTCTCCAGCATCACGTCGCGGTACAGGCGCCGCTGGGCCTCGTCCAGGAGCCCCCACTCCTCCCGGGAGAAGTACACGAACACGTTCTCGAAGGTCACCCAGGCCTGCGCGAAAGTCATCAGCGCGGCCGCCCCGGCCGCGGGGCCGAGGGGGCGGCAAGGGAGGGGTCCGGGAGGGCAGGTGACGTGGTCCCGGGGCCAACCAGCAGCCGCCCCCCTTATTGATTTTTTTTATAGAGAGGAAGGGAGAGGGATAGAGAGAGTTAGAAACATCCATGAGAGAGAGTCATGGATCAGCTGCCTCTTGCACACCCTCTACTGGGGATGTGCCCACAACCAAGGTACATGCCCTTGACCGGAATCGAAACAGGGACCTTTAGTCCACAGACCGACGCTCTACCACTGAGCCAAAAACGGTTTCGGCTCTCCCCAGAGTTTTGTGTCCCTTGGTTGTACTTATATGCATGTATACAAGTCCTTCGGTTGATCTATTATCTCCCCCAGATCTCTCTACCCTCCCCGCTGTAATTTGACAGTCTGCTTGTTGCTTTACTGTCTCTATATCTATCTTTTGGTTCATCGGTTTATAATGTTCTTTATTATCCTTAAATGAGTGAGGTCATGTGATGTTCCTCTTTCATTGACTGGCTTATTTCACTCAGTATAATGTTCTCCAGTTCCATCCAGGTTGCTGTGAATGATGATAATTCTTTCTTTTTTATGACAGCATAGTATTCCATTATGTAGATGTACCATAGTTTTTGGATCAAATCATCTGCTGACAGGCACCTAGGCTGTTTCCAAATCCTAGCTATTGTAGATTGTTCTGCTATGAACATAGGGGTGCATATATCCTTTCAGATTGGTGTTTCTAGGTTCTTGGGATATAATCCTAGGAGTGGGATTACTGGGTCAAATGGGAGTTCCATTTTCAGTTTTTTGAGGAAACTCCACACTGTTCTCCACAGTGGTTGCACCAGTCTGCATTCCCACCAGCAGTGCATGAGGGCTCCTTTTTCTCCGCAACCTCGCCAACACTTGTCGCTGTTTATTTGTTGATGTTGGCCATTCTGACAAGTGTGAGATGGTACTGCATTGTTGTTTTGATTTGCATCTCTCGGACAATTAGTGACTTTGAGCATGTTTTCATGTGGCTTTTGGCCTTCCTTCTGTCTTCTTTTTTTTAAAATATATTTTTATTGATTTTTTACAGAGAGGAAGAGAGAGGGACAGAGAGTCAGAAACATCAATGAGAGAGAAACATTGATCAGCTGCCTCTTGCACACCCCCTACTGGGGATGTGCCTGCAACAAAGGTACATGCCCTTGACTGGAATCGAACCTGGGACCCTTGAGTCCACAGGCCAACGCTCTATCCACTGAGCCAAACCGGTTAGGGCCCTTCTGTCTTCTCTTGAAAATATTCTATTTACGTCCATTGCCCATTTTTTAATTGGATCATTCATCTTCCTTTTATTTAGTTGTATAAGCTGCTGTAGACGTTGGAGATTAAACCTTTATCAGTGGTAACATTTGCAAATATGTTCTCCCATACAGTGCATGACCTGCTTTTTAAAAAATATATATTTTATTGATTTTTTACAGAGAGGAAGGAAGAGGGATAGAGAGCTAGAAATGTCAATGAGAGAGAAACATCAACCAGCTGCCTCTTGCACGCTCCCTACCGGGGATGTGCCCGCAGCCAAGGTATATGCCCTTGACCGGAATCAAACCTAGGACCCTTCAGTCCGCAGGCTGAAGCTCTATCCACTGAGCTAAACCAGTTTCAGCATGACCTGCTTTTAGTTAGAAAATTTTCACTTCAGACCATTCTATGTGGTTACTTTAAGTCTCTGAGTTTGTAAGATCACCATAAAGGCTTCCACTGAGCTTATCAGGTTTAGTATGTGGCCCCTTTCACCCACAAATTCCTCCCCATATGTCTCTTGTGCCTTTCAAGCTGCTATTCCCCCCACCCCACCCCACCCCCCGCCCCTGCCCGCACTGGAGCTAAGAGGAAGTGAGTCCAAATAGGTCTGTGCACAAGCCCT